AAAAAAAAACAAAACAAAAAAAAAAAGAGAAAAAAAGAAAACCAGATGGAAAGTGTGGATAGGGATGAGCAAGCATGTATGATTAGCGTTCGTCATGTTATGAGGTCTTGGTTGCATTGGGTTGGAGTCATGTTTGTGAAGCGAGTTGTTAGCGTCTGTTGACTGTTTGTGTTTTGTACGGATACCCCGTCAGTTGAAGCCCGAGCTCCTGACATGCGTTTGTTTCTGAGTGTGGAGAGCATGGAAAGAGATGGGGATGCTTGATGTAAATAGCAGGGCTGTGTTCCCCGTGCGTCGCTCATAATACCTCGGGCGACCACCTCTACAATGACACTATCTCAAGTCTACTTTTTCTCTTCCAAATCAAGGTGCACAGTAAAGAATGTTCTTCATGTCTCGGTAAGAATAAGGCTATACAGCTATTAAAGAGTGCCCGGCGATGCTTTCATTGATCTACCCAACAAGGTCTCCGACAGTGGGTCGATGGACCAACTGACAACGGTCCTCTCGTCTCACGACCATCCTCTTGGTGATAGCGTAGTTCCTCCACTCGCGACTGACTCAGGCCCATGGCCGCGAGATTCAGATCTGGTCGATAATGATGATGATGACGATGTTCCTTTCTACTACGCCAGCCGGGGACATCATCCCCCTCCTTGCCACCCCAGTCACTTCCCTTTTGCTGTTCCAGGGACGACCATGACGCCAGTAACTCCGAGGAAGCAGACGCAGAAGCGTCGACAGCAGCAGCAGCAGCAGCAGGAGAAGAGAGATTATAGACCAGCTCCATCCACTCGATCCCGAGGTAGACCGACTCGCCGACGCGCAGGTCCCCCGTCCACTCCCCACCGTTACTCCACAGGTTGACGACGATGATGCTAGGCCGGTCCGGCACGCGATACCGCTTGACGGTCTGCAAGGCGTCGTCCGCATACCACCGCGACTCCGTCCGCAACCAGTCCAGCCGGTGCGTCGTCCACTCCGTCCAGGGCCGCGTCAGGTTCACCACCGCGCTCGCCCCGGGGATGATCCGGTCGTGCTCCGCGTCGTAGTCCGGTTGGTTGGCGTAGTGGATCGTGAAGGGACTGTCGGCCGTCAGGATCTCGATGTCCGATTCGCAGATCGCCGAGCGGTACGTGAAGATGCCCGCGCAGGTGCCGCTGGGAACGGTCCTTTGATCGGGACGTACGGGGACGGGGACGGGGAGCGGGAGCGGCCTGTTGGGTGGCGGGTAGGCGAAGTTGGGTTTGTGTTTGGGTTCGGGTTTGGGGTGGAATGGGTGGTGGTGCGCGGTGTCCCGCGACATCAGGCGCATGTGGAGCCGGAGCGAGCAGTGGTCGATCAGACCGAACTGCGATTCGATCTCCGCGGTCGAGGCGTGGTTGGTGAAGCGTGTCGTGCGGAGGACGAGGAAGCTTGTGCTTGTGCTTGCGCTTGCGCTTGGGGGGTTGGTGTGAGGAGGAGCATGAGGAGGAGGGTTGGCTGAGTGCATGAGGAAGACGTTGGATTCGGAGTTCGTCATGGGGATTGGGGAGAGGAGCGGGCCCGCGGCGCGGTGCCAGGTTTGGACGTGCCAGTCTTTGCTGAAGGGGGTTTGCGTGAGGAGGCTGTGCGTTGTGTATTGGGTGTCGGTGTTGTTGGTCTTTGGGGGGGGTGAGGGTGGGTGGAATTGTTGCGATGCGTTGCGAAAGTTCCATAGCTTGTAATGCGTGAAGTAGCCCGGGTCGGGGCCGGAGATGAGGTAGCAGTCGCATTGCTGGGGGTCGATCGGGGTGCTGGGTTTAGGTGTTGGTGTTGATGCTGTGGCCCAGCGTGCGTTGCTGAGTATTGTTATCAGGGAAAGACTGGCGTGGATGGAGGTCAAGGAGGGTCGCATGATGGCGGTGGGTGTGGAGATGGAGGAATAGGAAGGATGCTGAAGGAGTGACTGTGTGGGGTAAGTATAGAGCTGCAGATTGCAGACTGCAGATTGTCTGGCGACGAGGTTGTTTGGTGGCCTTTGGGATTGATATCTACTAGTATGCGGTTATGATGGACATGCTTGTATATACTCGGACATGACTTCCGAAGGCAGGCGCGGAGCGTTGGTGCAGTGACTTGCCGCATGCTTGGAGGATTATGATGTAGTTATAAGCTTGTATACAGCCACTGTGCTGGGGCAAGATAGTTGCGACACTTACAAAAAACATACCGCGATATTGGTGGCATTTGTTGGTAGGTCGGCCATGGAGTATATAAAGTGGCCCAGTTTGTATGGAGATCGATGCCCCCTCGGAACTACATCTGCACCCCCCACCGTTTGCATGCGTGTTTCCGTCTCTGCTATGGCCGGTGGGACTGTAAGAACCTAGACTAAGTTATTGGTTAGACTATAGATGCGTTATATAGCTCGTGTCTACTAAGGTTAGTGGTCTATGACCACCGACAAGCTTACTTCAACCCAGAGCATTTACACTATACCACCGGCCATAATCCCCTATGATGAACCACCATCACGAGTTAGATACTCGGTTCACCTGCGGCATCCTCCCTTGGCCAGAGGCATTGTTGAAGCGCCCTTAGCGGGTTTAATAGGGCTCGCATCCACGTCTTCTTTCTTTCTTTTTTTTTTTTACTTAAGTTCTGAGTAGCCGTAGGCCTGATCAAGCACGAATCAATATAGCTGTTGAACCTAGAGCCTGATTATCTAAATTCGTGGATTTAGTTACGTAGCTACTGGTAGACCTGCTTATATAGCTGTTAAAGGTTCAATTTTATACAGCTGTTTGAGGTTATTCAAATATCTTTCCAAGCACCAGTTTAATGTACTGTAGATATATTGGTGGTGCTGATTTTGAGCTACGGCCTGACACTGTGGAGGGGGGGTCTTGTACTATCATCCGACGAAGCACAAATCATGTGACTACTTTTTAGGGACACTAATCAGGTTGCTTAATGTTGTACGGAGTTTCAGCTAATTAATCAGTATTCGTCATCCTGAGTTGCGAAGCGCTCTTCGCAAATACGCAGCGTCAGTATAGAACGGGAATGATACAGTATGAAGTCAGTATGGGAACGGCGTAGGGCCTGTGGTTGCACTAAGCAGCGGTAGATGAGAGAGGCAGCACAGGGCTGAGCAGCCAATCTGCAAGCGGAGGCCCCCTCCAAGGCGGCGTGGCAAACATCATCTCTCCTCTTAGTGATTGGCAGCAGGCAGCAGGAGGCAGTCAGCTGCAGCTTGTAGGGCCTGCCAAGCTCCCGACCTCCCGTTCTTTTGGTATTGTCACCCTCCGTTCCATACCGTTCACGGTGCATGGTCATCATGACGATTTCTATCTTCAATCCCAGCCAGAGACACACCAATTTGATCTGGTAGATGCGACAGCGTAATTTAGCATGACTGCGAATGACTCAGGATATCGACTTAGCATCATCAATTTCCATCCAGGGAATTGTGGTCAGTTGGTGCGTTGGTGACGAGGTTGAAGGAACGAGGGGTCAGGCGCTAGACTGGGTTGGGAGAATCCACCGGCGGGTGCCACGAAAAACGAAGCAGAGTAAGCCAACCAAGGGGGGTTGCGTTGCAAGATCAGTCCTACAGTCAGTCCTACTCCTACAGTCCTACTCCTTCTCTCGCCTCGCCTCACCCTCAACTCATCCCGTCTCCCTTTCTTCTTTCATCATCTCCCCCCAAACCCACCCACACCACCATATTCGTCATCATACTCTGTGAATTTTATCTTCACAACATCCCAAAAAGGTAACAAAATGGACCTCTTGTGAATTTCGGATCGGAAGGAGACCCAGAGCACCTCGAAGCCCACACATCATCGCCCACCATTAACCAGTTGTCACGGTCGGCTCCCGACCGTCCCTTAAATTCGCCATGACCACCACCCTGGAACGCAGTCTTTCTCGCACCTCGAGCATGTCGATACCGGTCTCGAGCCCGAGGTTATCTCTCGTACATGAATCCACACCCCCAATACTCTCCGACCCCACCCTGTCTCATATTCACGACCGCTTGACTTATCTCGACTCTCGCCTTTTGGAACTTCGATCCAGTGTCTTGACCAAGGATGGCTACGTCGACAGGCGTAACCGCGAAGACGAACATATCCGACGCGAATTCGAAGCCAACCGCTCCGTCTCGAATCGGATCGATCTGAACGTTGTCGCCCTGAAAACCGACGTCGACCAGTTGAAGTCGGGGATCTCGCAGCTCAAATCCAGCATCGGCCAGACCGGTAACGAGACCGTCTTCCTCCGCAGCGATGTCGACCGTTTGTCCAAGAACGTGGATCAGATCCAGTCAGATGTCGAACATCTGCAGACCGATGTCTGTGGATGCCGCGTCGAAGTCAGCAAGCTGCACGCTACGATCAGTCAACTGCGTACCGATTTGATCACTCTCCAACATGAGACGTCACGCCATCTGACGTCCGTTTTCAATCGGTTCTCTCTCATCGAGTCCCGCATGAAGCATTCGGAGCGGGTTCGATTCAACTCGCTGGCCCATACCACTCACGCCCCGATCACGCCTGTTCCCGTGGTGGAAGACGACGGATCATTACAATGGCCCGAATACTTTCCTCGTACTGTATGGCGGTTCTGGTGTCTCAAGAAAAGAAGTAGGAGTAAGTGCGATTGGCAGGTGAATTCCCCGCACTCATCTAACAATGTTCCTAGTCAACCGCTTGGTTCAACTGGCCGACTTCTACCAGCTTGGCGGGTATGAATATTGGGGCCGCATGCACCAGACAGAGCCTGTGTACGCCACCGCAACCGACAGTGACTCGAGTGACTCGAGTGACTATCCGTCCACTCTTACACGCGCTGAGGCTGTTCGTCTGTATCCTGAGGCTGCACATCAGGCGCTGGCAGCAACGCTGGGGCTGGTTTATTACAAAATCCGCAACGAAGTTGGCGAAGGGATGACTCTCCACATTCGTCCTCCGAAGCGGCAGCAAGAAGAAGTTGCTTCGGCAGCTTCCAGTGCGAAGGAGAAGCCGGTGAAGATGCCTCGCCGAACGAACAACATGTCGCCCACCACTTTGAAGCGGCTCATTGATGGCCCATCCTTGGAGGCCAAGTCTTTGACGTCTGAGGAGTCAGACAAACTGGGATGGAACGCTCACTCGGAAGTCTCCGATGATACCATGAGCAAGCTCAGAGGCATCGTGTCGGAGGAAGTCGGTACCTTGCTTCGAGCGCTGGAGCGCGGCCGGATTAAGCTCAGGTCTACGCGCCCTGAGCAACGGTCGAATGTCTCGCCCTCGGAGATCAGGTCCAGCTTCCGAAACGGCAAGATCGCTGATGACGAACGAACCATTCCCGACACTGTTGCTACGGAGGTTGTCTCCGTCTCTTCAGGTGTTCCCGAGAAGGTGGAAGAGCCTGAGCTTCCCGACACTGCATCCGATGCTACCAGTCCATTGACTGGGATTGAGACTTGAGGCGCTCATCACAGCTACGAACAGTATTAGCAGGTTCAACTCTTCAGCCACACTTCTACAGCCATACCCATAGGCTCTACCTTGATGACCGTCCATTGGACACTGGTTTTCTCCCGAGATAACACACTGCAGTTGTGTTTTTTTCGTATGGATTCCACACTCGTTCGTACCACGGAGTACGCGCAGATTGCTTGCTCTGAGGCTTGACCGCTTTCTCAACGTCTTGGGTGTCGTGGCCTATGGGTAGAGGGTCTGTGGTATTGTTGATTAGCCATTCGATCTTCAAGGAGATCTTTGGTCCTGAAGGGCCGATGCCCACAAAAGAATGTTGATTCGCCCATCAAAGTTCACGCTAGATAGGAGTGGGAACGGCCCAGCTCCTTTGATTCACCTTGTCGAATCTGGGTACTACGTCTGCCAGTACAAGCGCCCTACTCGGTGGACCAAGCGGGCCGTGTAACCGGCCAAGTAGCAGTAGCCTTGTTGCTACGAGTGGCTGAGCGTCAGCCCGATCCTTGGCTAGATTTATGTTGTACCCCCTCCCTACCTTGACCAGGTTTCTGGAAGGTGTGCAGCCTGCGCAAGCCGGCTTGGTGTGCCCAAGGGATTGCCTACAGCGTAACCTCATGACAAGTTAGATTATTTTGTTTGGCATCATTGGTGGGAGTTATTGACCATCGGACAGGTCTTCACCTGGCCGCAGCATTGAACGGCGTTTTTGGATTTCGTTGGGAATGACTGCTTATAGATACCCATGCTCTGTATTGTGTTTTTTAGCGATACTTGTTCTGATTCATTGAGCAATCAACTGTTCTCTTGATTAACAAAGACCTAGGCTCGATCCGCTCCGAACGGACTGAGCCGAGTGTGCTACCAGACGATTCGACAACGATCGATCCTCCTACTAGAGGGTGCTCGCGGTTGATCGTCCCAACCAGATAAATTCTGTACAATCCTGCAATTATGGATCAAGCTAATAAAGCAGCATGCATGCCAGATCGATTTTTATAGGCGCCCTCATGATATGCAACTATGGCTAGGTAAATGTTTCCCAATCCTAATCTATGACAATGCCCCCGGTTTCCTGTCATCCTGTCCTAGACCTGCATCACATAAGCATCGTCGGCTCGAATAGATCCTTCTTGAGCACTTCCAGGACCTTTTTCTCGTCGACATTCCCCAAGTCGATACCGGCAGGGGCCGGTTGATCGACCTCCGACTCCGTCGGACTCGCGCTGTCCTCGTCCACTGGCGCGTGGGTGCGAATATACTCGTCTTCCAGTAGATACCGGGCGTCTGATCCCTGCGCGCGTAACGCAGCGGGCGAGTCTGGTAGTACATAGATGGTAGGGAATTCGAGGACCGTGTGGCCGCGCAGGGCGGCGGTGAGCGTCATGCTGGGGGCGAGCGGGATCAGGACGGGCTGTTTGGTCGCTGTTCGCGGCCGGTGGAGGTAGAAGTAGACGTTTCGATGGGGAAAAATCGCGTGCGTTTCTTCTTGTTTGGAGGAGGTGGTAGTGGGTGGGTGTGGTTCGTCGGTTCTGGCTGTTGGTGCTGTTGATGCAGCAGTAGTGCTGGATTCGGTGGTTGTAGTAATAGCAGAGGGGATATCTTCAGGTTGCTGAGCGACGTTCTCCGCTATTGAAGAAGGCAGTTCATGTTGTTGCGCTTGGCCCTGATCTTCTCCCTGCTCTTGGTTCTGTGTCTGTTTCTGTGTCTGCTCCTTTTCCTTCTCGCGTTCTTCCCTACTTAGAGGAAACGCTCGATCGTAGGAGAGGGCAATCGGAACCGAATCCCTGCAGTTCCTCGTGCGCTTCTCCCCGGTCTCCCCTATCCACTCCACCGTCCACACCAAGCATTGCTGTCTGTAAAAGATTATAGAAAGTCAGCCACCCATCCATTCACCGCAGCCCCCAGCCAAGCAACCAGTAGAAGAGTAAAAGCGACGGGGCCGGGAACGTACTTAGCAAACCACCTCGACCCATTCTCCTTATTCCGACTCATCCCCCTCGGCGCCCGAATCACCTTCACACCTGCATTTCTCACTTCCCGCAAGAACCCGGATTCCCGTCTCGCAGGGCCAGCAGCAGCAGTAGCAGCAGCACCAGCACCACCCCTCTTCCTCTTCCCCCCAGCGCCCCCACCACCACCACCACTACCACCACCACCACTACCACCACCACCAACCTCCCCTCCCTGCCCATCCCCCTCCTTCTCCACCCCCTCCCCTATTCCCGTGCTAGAAGGCGAATGATCCAACCCCACGACCGCCAAATCCCCCACAAACCCGGCCGCATCCCCGTCGACCCGGATCCCACGGTTCTCGGCGTCGCGCCCGGCCCGCTCGATCGACCGCTCGATCCCCGTGATGAAGTTGAAGTCGCGGTCGAAGGCCGTCGCCGTGGCCAGCTCGCTGCGCCGCAGGTAGGCCGCGGGGTCGCGCACCCCGCTGCACTGCGACCAGAGCTTGTGGCGCCGCGTGCACGGCAGCGAGCAGGTGCGCGTGTTGCAGCGGGGGCAGCGGTATTTGGGGGGTTGGAGGTGACTGTATTTTTTTTTCCATCCGAAGTGGTTTAGTGAAATGTGAAAGGAGATCTTGGGGGGGGGGGGTTGGGGGTTTGGGCTTGGGTGGGTGGTATGAGCGTCGGGGGCTTACCAGATTGTGCAGAGGTCTGTTAGCAGGGAGTCTTCCTGTGAGGAGGACATTTTTGGTTCTTGGGGGTGGGTTTGGTGCTTGGTTCGGTGGTTTTTGGTGTTGGCGCTTTGGGGGTTTGGGGCGATGGGGGATGGGGTATATGGTTCAGTATTTTGTGTCAAGTGCAAAGTAAGGGTATGGTATGGGTTGAGAACGAGGCTGTAAGAGAATAAGAGTAGCTGGTGTAGAATGAAAGCCAAAGTGTTGATCGAGGCGCAGAGAGAAAAAAACTGATAAGTTGGAGATTGAGCCCGTTGGATCCTTATCGCCTGGGCTTATCGCGGCGGAAGGGTCTTGGATGCCTGAGGCAGGCGGTTCATGGAGCGGCCAGATGAATCACCAATCGCCGAACATGGCTTATGCTACGGTACAACTGCTACATACTCCCTGGCTAGCCTTCTGCACTTCTAGCAGGTGGCTGTGATACTGACAAAAGCTTCTCTGGCCGATTGCCAGATCTCGACAACCGTGCTCGCAATGATGCGATTAGTGATCTGACCCCAGTGATTTCTAATCTCGGCGTTTGCAACTCCCCGATACAAATGACGACATGAGGAGAATGCGGAGTATGCTTAGCGAAGTCAGAGTATATCTTCGACTCAGATCCAGACCCAAATTCTCTTCCTGGTCTCTCAATTTATCTTCGACTCAGTTGTTGACAAACCCAAACCCAAACCCAAACCCAAAAAATGGCCGCTGCTAAGCCTTTCGCCATCGTCGCCGGCGTTGGCCCTGGAACGGTACGGTACCTCCCACAGCTCTACGAACGGTTGCGATGTACAGACTAACAGAGACCAACAGGGCGCCTCCATTGCCCGCCGCTTCGCCAAAGCCTACTCCGTCGTCGTGCTCGCCCGCAACCCCGCCAACTACGAGTCCGTCGTCGACGAGATCAACTCCGCCGGCGGCCAAGCCACGGGCTTCCGCGTCGACCTCTCCGACACCCAGAACGTCAAGTCCACCTTCGAGCAGATCACGAAGCAGTTCACCGGCTCGCCGCTCGCCGCGGCCGTGTTCAACACCGGAGGTGGTCTCGTGCGCAAGCCGTTCCTCGAGCTGACGGCCGAGGAGTTCTCGTCCGGGTTCGAGTCGCAGGGGTAAGTAGTTAGACCATCTTTCTTCCCTCATTACCCCAGACTCCAAGCTTAGAACCGCACCTTTCTTTTTTTCTTTGGTGGACGCATGGGCTAACATCTCCCACAGCAAAGGAGCCTTCAACTTCGCCAAGGAGACCCTCCCGCTGCTCCTCCAGGCCACGAACCTCCAACACCCACCGACCCTCATCTTCACGGGGGCGACGGCCAGCGTGAGGGGCTCGGCGAACTTCGCCACCTTCGCGGCGGGCAAGTTCGCCCTGCGCGCGCTGGCGCAGTCGCTGGCCCGCGAGTTCGGGCCCAAGGGCGTGCACGTCTCGCATGTGATCGTCGATGGGGTCATTGATATCCCGCGCACGAAGGCGTGGACGTTCGAGCATGAGGATGCAAAGTTGGATCCTGAGGCGGTAAGTAGCCATTCCCTCTTTGAGACTTGAAGATTCTGGGCCATGGATGGCTGATGTTGGATCGTTGGGACAGATCGCCGAGTCGTATTGGCACTTGCATAGTCAGCCCCGCACGACTTTTGGGTTTGAGCTGGATCTTCGACCCTATGTTGAGAAGTGGTAGGACTGAGGCTTTGCTTGTAAGGTAGAACGGAAGGTAGCTCGTTTGTCTGGGTAAATTGAAGTTCGCAAGGGTTGGCTCAGATGCCTAATTTTAGTACCTCATCAATGGTATAGTAGGGGGCAGTGTTTGGAGGGAGCATGTTGATTAATCGAACCAATGGATCAAAACCTGACTGTTCATCTCTACGCACCATCAGCAAGCTGTGTAGGCTCTCTGCCGTGTTGTTAAATGTAGAGAGAGAGGAGTCCGTACTCCGTAGTAAAACGTCAGATCCGACATAAGTGAAGCCAGCACAAGCTGACTAATCCACCAAGCACAAAGAGCACAGCTGACCTCACCACAAAGCTATAGCTTCTCATCCATGACCACCGTTCTCCGCACCTCCCTCTCTCTCCAACATACTCACCTTCATCCATATTTCCCCACTCCACACGAACCTTCTTCAAACTCACCCAAACCTCACACACATCCCACCAGATTCAGCCAAACATCACGTCCGCAGAAAACCCAAAAAAATGAGCGACCACAACCCCCCGGTGCCACCGGCGGGGACGGAACCCCAGCCCCAGCCCCAGCAATTCCCGCCGAACCGGCTGAGCCCGCCGCGGCTCCTGCGGCTCCCCAACGGCACGACGACCAAACAATACCTGGAGCACGCCTTCAAGCCGCTGCGCGTGGACGAGTCGCTGATCCGCAACCCGAACCCGTTCACCCTGTACATCGGCCTCTGGGGCCGGACGAACTACGTCGCCAAGACGGAGATGGGCGCCTACCGCCGCCTCGAGAACATGCGGCGGCACACGGGGCGGGCGCCCACGCAGCCGGAGATGGACGCGATGCTGGAGATGATGGCGCAGAGCGCCCGCCGCAGCAGTCTGGGGCTGCCGCTGGGCGCGCTCGCGGGCCTGGCGCACCAGGCCTACGCGCTGCGCTACTCGGCCGACTGGGAGGCCTACTTCGCGCCGCAGGTCCAGGAGACCCCCGCCGGGAAGAAGGTGCTGACGCTCGAGGGGTTCAAGCGCGGCTGGCAGATGATGGGCGACGCCGGGGCCATGGGCGGCGGGCGCCCCATGGCCGCCGCGCGGTTGTTCAAGGTCGCGGTCTGGACGCTCGTCGCGGATTTCGTGGCCAGCTCGTGGGCCACCTTCGGCGAGATCGCCATGTGGAGGGGCGATGCCCGCCTCGAGCGCGTCAGGGAGGAGATGGAGCGCTCCAAGCACGCGGTCCGCTTGAGTACTTCGCCTGGCGCGAGGGCGGTCTCCGGCGGCGATACCTCGGAGGAGGGTCAAAGGAGGCGCGAGTCTTCGGCGGCTTATGCCTTGGTTGTCGCTGGGGAGCTGAGGGAGGGGCCGAGCGAGGTGGATGGTGCTGGTGCGGGTGATGATGGGTCGCCCGTGGCCCACGGGATGGGGGAGGATTATGCTTTCAATGGCGGTGGTGGTGGTGATGAGCATGGTTCTAGGACGAACTCCTACAGTGAGGTTACACCACGCGTGAGGGCTTGGAATACGAGAACGCAGCAGCAGCAGCGGCAGACTCCCTCCTCCTCCGGTGGTGGTGACTTCTTCGACGACGACGATGATGCTAGTCCCGTTGCGGTGGAGCATCGCAGACCCGCGGGCGGAAGTGCGTGGGATCGGCTGCGGATGAACGCCGCGCGACCGCAGTCCAGGCCGCAGCAGGCTGAATGGTCTCGGGCCGAGCGTGAGAGCGAGAGTGAGAGCCACAGTGAGCGCGAGAGGGCTCAGGCGGACTTCGACCGCATGCTCGATGCTGAACGGAACGCGGGGTCGGATTCGGGGAGGAGAAGTGGCAGATGGAGCAGTTGGTAGTTAGAGAAGGCTCGTGCTCCGAGATCATGAACTGTCTTCAAGCGCTTTTTATCCTTACGAGTCCTGGCTACCCTACCAGGTGCATGTGTAACTTAAGTTTTCTTGTGTATGTATACGACCGAATCATTTCATGTCACCTTCAGATGCCATCACCTCTGTCTAGTCGCATTATTATTTGACCTCCTTCAGAAGAAAGCGGCTGTGATCACACGGCAATGTAAGCCACAGAGAGACTCGCGTCAATTGAAATTCTGGAAAGGACTTTTCTGAGATACGGGATAGTGGTTAGGAAATGTAGAGAAATAAGAAAAGTAATCGGAGTGATAAAACGAGTAAATTAGGATACACCACTTCGGTGACGTGATCAGACATAGCACATTCATCTTGGTTATCAGAGGCAACGATACATCAAAAATAATACATTCCCAGGAACGGGATGGCGGGTTGTGCTGTATATTAGATGAGAATCACAGAACAAGAAGCAAAAGCAAAAGCAGAACAATCAATTCGTTAGTCATAAGGGTTCAACTACTGTGATCATCGAACCAAAGCATGAGCCAGATGATGGTATAGGTTGCTCTATAGTCGACCATCCATCACCTGCACGCTTTCATAAGGGATGTGGATCTCCGCAGACACCCAGGGCTCGCTGCCCTTGTTATGCCCCACCCGTGTCAAGTTGCGGATCTTCGTGCTTAAGCTCTCATTCACGCTGCGGCCTCGTCGATGCTCAAAGGACATGCGGCGGCGTTCCAAGCCGGGACGGACATCAGTGCTCAATGCCGGGGCGGCGGTCATCGCGCGAGGGAGAAGCCGTCCAAAGTCCTCGTTATCGAACGCGATATCGATGGTGCCCGAGGACTGGCGTGGAGAGGCCAAAGGAGGAATTGGTGGCGGCGGAGGTGGCGGCGGATTTAAATGTTGAAGCTGCGGCAAAATGGGAGGGTTTTCGGCCTGCTGCATCAAAAGTCCATTCTCGATAGTCTCTTCGATGCTCACTGTGACAGGCGAACCGCCATAGCTATTTCCACTATTCTCTCGCTGATGACCCTTACCCCGTGACCGACTTGTCGAGCGGCTTCGGGGTAGCCGTGGGTTGAATCGTGGATGCATTGGTAAGTCAGTGGGCACTAGGCCAGACGGCTGACTTTCTGGGACCGGAACGGACATCGAACGGCCAATTCTCTCTGCATCTCCTAGATATCTTGCGTCGCTCAGAAGTATAGTACTATCGGGCATGGGAGGAACTGCTACAGTCTCCTCGTAACCATTGTACTTGGGGTGTCGCATAGCTCGAGGAGTCGCTGGCAAGCCATAGGGCACGTTCGACTTAGATGAGGCCGACTCGGAACTGCTTGGACCCTCCGGCGACCCTTTACTAGCAGTAGTCCTGTGTCGACCTGGAGTGTGAGGTGTGAATGACGATGACACTGAGAATGGCGGGCTGTCCGGAGCAGTGCGGGCGGATTGTAATTCTCCGGGAAATGGAATGTTCGGCGCAGATGGATTGCGTGCCAGTGACAGCCGACGTGCCTCAAGTTCAGCAGCTGCAAGTTGCTTTCTCCTCTGCTCTACGAGAGTGGCTTGATTGTGAGCCATCGGAGGCGCCTCGCGTGCTAAATCGGCCACAAAATCCTTGATCTGTTGACTGCTATCATCAGCGTACATGCTGTCATTAAACTTCCCGTCCTGTAGCATCACAACAGGGCCTTGATCTGTATCAACAGTGACATCCATCTCAGAATGACTGCGAGAGTCTGCTCTCGGACGTCTTGCTTCGTCTCCTTTCATCCCTGTGTTCTTGTCCGGACGCCGGCTGCCGCTTCGCTGGCGAGTCCGCAAACGCTCCCTATCACTCGCCACGAGTCTCATAGCGTCATCTGGAGTCATTGTAGGAAGTGGAAGCGGCGACGAAGGAGATCTCATGCTTGATCCTTGGCGGTCCATGCTACGTCCACGCTGCGAGTGTTCCGTGTTGATACGGCTGGCGGTATTGCGGCTTGCTGAACGATTTTGGCGGCGTTCGGAAGAGTTACGAGAGCGTGGCTTCCGCACTCTGCTAGCACTGCGCGTTCGAGACGATGCTTTGTTCGCGGCGTTCGCATTGATCCGTGCCAGCTCTTCAGGTGACATTGGAACTGGAGAAGATGGCGAACGCTTGGCAGGTTGTATGTACCTTTTTTCGTGTCGCCCACGGGTCTCTTGAGATTCGTTCCTGGACCGGTACCTCCGACTGGAAGCTTGGCTGACCGCATCATCCGTATTTCTTCGTCCGCGCCCAGGAGTATTCACAGTTGGAGTCTGATACTTATGCGAATGATAGCTCGCTTCACCCAAACTACTGATATACTGATCAATACTCCGACTGCTCACGCTCGGGCTTCTGGCGGAGCTAAAGCTGTTTAATGTCGATGCTGGACTTCTAAAGTTGGCCAGCGGATTCGGTTGTTCTTGTACATCAGCCTGAGAGGAGCTGCCCAGATGGAGCTGCAAGCCCTCTGGCTTCCGTTCTCGGGTACTTGCCCTACTGTCAGAGCGCTCCTTCAGCGCCTCGAAGACACCGGCAGCTGGAGAAGGAAGGCCTTTAATTCCTGCGAATTGGTCAGTTGCTGCCTGAACAGCAGTTTGAGGGCTGGGTTTGTATTCTTCCGGATCGTATCGGGCAGATGACAGCAAGCCGAGACCGTCGCCATCTTCGTCGTCTTGTTGTTCCTGTGCTTGAATCTCCTCGTTCTCCGAAGCCGAACCATAGTCCATAGCAAGCTTATTGTTATACACGGCTGATGTGAAAGTCGGTGGATGAACGTCAATCGGCGTTTCCCCTATGGAAGGAAGGCGGCGCCTGTTAAACGCAGGGGTGTTTGTCCGTCCGTTCATTGCATTGTTCAGGCTCTGAATATTATTGAGCTTGTAAGAGCCAAAGCCACCTGGCGATAGAGCCGATTCCACCACGGCCGATTCCGCTATAGGCGTGACTCCAGGAGCATTTGTTGGCGTTCGATCATCTGACTTCAGCCCGGGGAAGTTGTATTTGTGGTTCGGTTGCGAGTCAAATGATGTGATGAGCTTGAGAGCTGGCGCTTTCAGAGCTTGCCTGGTATTGGTAGCTGCAGGTCTCGCTTGCGAGCCTGGAACCATCAGATTGGACGGGTTGTTCGCATATGGTGGCTCGGGTGACTTCATCTGCGGTCTCTGGGTTATCACCTCGGTGAACGATGCCGCCTGTTGAGCCGCAGGAGAGGTCCATGGTTCCGATGGTTCAACACCAGTACACATGAAGCACCGAATTGCCAGCTGCTGTTGTGAATGAGATACCACGTGTTCACCCCATCGACGGACAAGATATGACTGGCGTTGCCAGTCCGTGGGCATAGCCAGACATGTCATAAGTATTGCTTCCAGATAATAATTTTGAGAAACGTAGACCTCAATTGCGTCGTTCCGATCTCCCAGTCCTAACAATATGGTGGCCGCTGTGTGAATATCGCCGATCTCCAGCAGCTTCTGGACGAAGGCTTGCCCAAATTTATTGGATTGGGACTCTCCGGACATCTGGCTGAAAGCGAGAAGCATCCAGTCGGTAATTGTCGCAGGCCCGGAACCGATCATCGAAACCATGTGGTCAGTGTCGGACTCCCCAAGCCATTGAGCTAACAGAACGGCATTATGGCTCGTTGGAGGGTGATGGCTAACTATTGGAAATGTCAGTTAACTCACGGCAATACTCAAAAATCTCCTGAACCTACGTTCGTCTCGAATCAATCCTTCGATGTCACCGTCAAAGCCAAAAACAACGCTCAACATCTGTTGGCGTAGATCATCTGGAGTCAGGCGAGATTCATCAAGTGGCTGGTGATGTCCGTAGGGCACATCATTCAGACGTGCGCGCGTAAAGGGGAACAGATCGCTAGGTCTATCTGCAGGGCTGAGTTGGACCTCATTTCTCAGACGCGAGCCTCCAGCACGAGAGCTTTTAACTGAGGACATTGAAACAGACGATGCGTAAGCGTATGAAGCTCCAGACGCCTGGGGGGTATCTCTTCCGGATGCAGATGTCAATGAAAATGACGTCCCAGTTACTCCTGACCTGCTCTGTGGCGAGAATGTGCCCATTCTATATTTCCCCGAAGATGCCTTGGAACTGACCGAATTCGCATGGCTGCGAGAAGAGACCGGACTGCTCAATTCCGCCCGTTGCTGCCGAACAGTCTCAATCCCGTTCATGTCGAGTGGAGTTCTTCTCGAAGTGAATGCGTTCGCAGACTCTTTTATCGTAGGTGGATCCTCAAGAGTCCGTAGCTTCGCTTGCTCTTGGGGTAAGGACATGACATTGGCCGGGAGATGTTGTACGTTGGCCACCATTGCTGGTGCTTCGACATCGTACTGCTGGACAGTGAATTGCGGCCCTAGCGTGAAAAGCGTCGCCGTTGGCCCGTAGTTTGCAAACCCGCGAGGGTTGTCGATCGTAGGGACTGGCTCGTATGTGACATGTTTCGTCCTGACATCCCATGCCCATGTCTCTCTGTAATTTGGGCCATTAGATACCGAGTGTTTGCCAGATGCAGGCCAGATGAGGTACACCTACCCATCAAGATATTGTACAATTCTTCCGTTCTTTGACCAAGCCATCCATTTTGGCTCTGATGGTGGCGAGCCATCTGACCGCTTCAACACCCTGATGACTCGAGGAGGTTCTTTTCCTGGCGGCTTGGCAACGCTCCACACCCTCAAATCACCATTTGCCGATAGTGTCGCTAGCATATCAGATTTCTGCTTGGAGGAGGAGGCATGCCAGGCCAAGGAGAGTATGGATGACGGTCCTCGGGAGGTGGCCATAGTGTGTAAAATTGTGAACGTCGGGTGGAGGGTAGCGATCATTATAGAGCCATTCTGGTAACTAAAAGAAGGTCCGTCAGCCTTGAATACGGACAGATACTTGGTTTGGTGGGTACCCTATTGCGTATGTTCGACAGTCTGTGGCCGGTGCAAGAGCGGTTATAGGATCGAAGATGGTGCGACAGGAAATGTGCTCCGAGGTAGACGGTTCAAAGATGATAACATCTCCCTTTTCGTTTCCTTGAAACGGTGTCAGTCGCCTCGTTTCCAATCCGCATGAGAAGTCGTATACCTACCGAAAGCGACGTTCCCATTTCGCATCCAGGTGGCAACTTTGAGTTGTTCGAACGATGCAAACCTTGCAATCACTGTCCCTGTAAAAATATCCCAAACAATTGCAGTTTTACCGACATCATAACTGAGCACTAGTCTCCCAGCACCACGCTCACTGACATTGTCAACCGAAATGAACTCAACATCCTCTTGGTGGTTTTCAAAGCGTCTTTCGAGTGCCAAGGTATCATGGTGAAGACAGGAAATCACGGAGCCTTGGGCGTATAGGAAAAGCGACGCCGTTGATGCACAGGGTTCAAACCGAGAAGTCGATGCTTGCGGTGGCGGGATCATGGTCGGCGCTGGTGGTTTCATTGCCGAGGGTCTCGAGTCTGTACTCATTCCGGTATTCCATGACAATTCGACCATTTCCGAAGAGCACACTTGTGAGTCAAGCTTGTTCTTCCGAATGTGGCTTCCTAGCCTTTTGCTCGGCCAGTTCTCGTGCGTAGCGAAACGACGGGGGGGCACAGCAGTCGTTTCTCGAAAGATGATGCTCGCGATCTGACGCAGAGTAGGCCCGGCAGTGAGCGCACGAGAGCAAACTAAGTGATTGACACTCAGATTATCATGCTCACAAATGCTGATACTCTTGTTCTGCGACACAGTATGAAGTATGGATTGGGTGTTGGCCTGGCCCACAAGAACAGCTTTCGCACACCTCCGAGTGTTTAGCGGAATAGAAACACAGAACTAGTGTCGATGAATAAGGATAGAAAGAAATGGCCGGGGAAAACCACAAAAGAATTTTCAGAACAAGGCCGTGGACAAAGGTATGGAGAATACTGATGGGGCAATCAAGAGGTGGGGGAGGATTAGAGATTCTTGAGGCCCTGGAAATGATCAAATTGAACCTGGTAAGATATGCGGACGCACGACAACGCAGACAATAGCACAGAAGGAACGATGCAGTGAGAAAGACTAAGCAGGCTACCACGTTTGGAACATACACCATGCACGAGGTATGAAAGAGGCTTTGTGACAAGTCGACAGGGGCTGAAGTTTTGTTTAAAAAAAGACGTTCCCTGGCCAGGAGAATCCGGGGTTTACAACGGAGAAGTCCAAGAGATAGTTGAAAAAGCACAAATTGTACACCTCGTTTTGTAAGTTATTAATCTCGGATGGCGCCAGCCTCTATCTCCGCGTCGTGTGTATCTAGACGTGCCTATAGGGTCTGAGACGTCGCAGAGGTAACGGCCACAGTCGATCAGAATATCGAGACTTCAAGCAATGGGATTAGCGCCAAGGGGAGTTGACGGCGCTTCCGAGGACCGGGATGTCACCAGCATGAGAGAGGGGGGGATTATTCTGGGACATAATTAGCGGACGATGGTCAAGAAGACCCATCAAGCGGCATTAAAAGCTGTCGGTGGCCCTCGCATGGCACACCAACTGGCATGCAGCAACGGCACAAGAGAAGCATGGGACAGCCAGTCGACCTAGCAGAGTCCGATCGCTGTCCTAGTGAGATTCCATTGCGATACTATCGGTAAGTTCTCGGTGGAGCAGCAGGATAGCCAGTTACGGTGGTATCTGGGGACCTGATCTAACCATCAAGATGAGGCGCAGTTTCTGGAGAGGGAGGAGAGAGAGTTTGGGACTATCGGAATCAAGTTAAATCCGCAGGTCCAATTGTTGCACGGAAATGGGGAGTGAGTGTAAGACTCTCGTCCTAACTAGGCAAACTGAGCGGGAGTGAGATAGAGCATGCCAGTCAACGGTGAGTTCTGCATGGCTCGCGGCGGCTGTCAGGGACCTTGACGGGCGGATCAATCTCGAGGGAGCCCCGCGTGATTGGTCCGCCCGGTGCAGAAGGCGTTTCTTCAAGCCTAAGCTGCTGCAGGCCTCATCACTCCCACACACCAATCACCCGCCCTGAAAGCTCCGTTGTCGCTGGTCAGTAAGTAGGGCGGCGCGTAAAAGGCCATCCTGGCATCTGAATGGTTGCTCGTTGCAGCAAAGCCCAGCAACTCTGTGCCAATTGTAGAATGTTGCTCCCGAGGAAAGGGTCATTGCCAGCATCAGGCGATGTGCTGGTGGCTATCGAATCACGTTCTACCCATGACAATGTACACGTTACCTGAGGAGACCAAGGTTAGACCTAGGAACGCTAGGACTCAGTACAGACTTTCCTGGCAAGACAAGGTCTGTGCTTCGAAGGTTGGGGGGATTTATTTGGACGAATCCAGCGAGAATGAGATATTTCCATACGGCCAATGAACTCCATGTCGGGCTTGATCCCGACTAACATGCATGGTTGGTCACTTGCAATGTTAAGGCAGACCGAGCCGTGTATGCCTATCACCGGAGCGAACTGCGACTGTAACACGGGAAAGAAAACCGTCCTCGACATTGCCGGTGACTATGGCATCGCACGGTGGTATAGGAATTGAAAGTCACTGTGATTGTGCCACCTCAACATCACCTCGAGCGATATGACATGGAACTAGGACGATGACGTACGGCGTGGACGAGTCTTTCATAGTGGGACATTGGTGGTGGCGGGAGAAATGTGATGTGACTAGCAGTGTGACTAGTGTCGTGACTGGCTTTCTTAGCGTCTGTGAGAAATCCCCAATGATTGCGGGGTTGGATGAGGCGCTCGGTCCACTGTCTTAGATGTTTAAAGAGGCGGTATAGCTGCCATCGAGAGTGTGTACTCCGGAGTAGAAGCTGACTTTCGATAGGCGGGAAAGTGAGTATTGTTTAGATCGAGGTATGCTGAACTAGAAGCGGATGCTGCAGCCTGTATGACTTGACCATGGAGCGGCACAAAAGAATTGGCTAGATAGTGACGGGATGTAGATATAGCTTAGGATTGGACTGAAGAGGTCAACGCAGCCAGTTGATTGATTTAGAAATGGTCCATGACTTGACGAGTCGATAGTGTACAAACTTCATACTACTCTGTACCGTGCATTCAGGTAAACGGGCAGTTACGGAGTACTATTCTAGCTATTCTCGGCCGGGCCTAAGCGGGGCGCGATAAGGCGGAGGGGAGGGTGAGCACACACGCTAATCTATTCTTGAGGATCACATGACCAGACACAATTCTGCCGGTGCTTTCCTCCGCGGCGAAAAATCGGCCCGTGATATGAATTTCCGCCATCTCCAAAATCTTTTGGCCTCTACCAAATCATCTTAAGGAATAATAAAGTTTCAAGGAACAGTACGATATAGCCTGTTCTTTTCTTCGATCGATTCCAGAAATCTGGCTCTACCACTACCGCATCTCTCACTAAAGAAAACATCACAATGGGTGTGCAGAAGAAGACTCGCAAGTTTGCGCAGGTCGGTCCGCGCCCGGAATCCCCGAAGAGAGTTCAATCCTGACCTCCCGTTGCCAAACAGATGAAGCGCACCATCAAAGCCCGCGATGAGCGCCTGAAACCCGATAACAAGAAGCAGGAGACGCCCAAGGAGAACGAGTTGACCCGTCACATCCCCGTCGCGCCCTCGAACATGTTCTTCGCCGCCAACACTGCTCTCGGCCCTCCCTACCACGTTCTCGTCGATACCAACTTTGTCTCGCACGCCATCCGGGCGAAGCAAGATCTCCTTACCTCTATGATGGATCTGTGAGTCTGTGTGAATCTCAGTTGGTGGCAATAGGGATGATGCTAAGACTTGTGGAACCAAAGGTTATATGCGAAATGTATCCCGACATTTTCAGATTGCACGATTGCCGAATTGGAGAAACTGGGGGAGAAGTACCGGTTGGCGCTCCGGACCGCCAAAGATCCCAGATGGGCTAGGGTGAAGTGCTCTCACAAGGGCACGTATGCAGATGACTGTATCGTGGATCGGGTGAGTGGAGACTTTTTTCTGTGGCAGTGTGTCATAGCGCGCTAAGTGTTCGCCGACTCTAGGTGTCGAAACATCGCATTTACATCGTGGCGACCAACGATAAGGATCTGTGTCGTCGTTTGCGCAAGATTCCGGGTGTGCCGATCATGAAGGTCGCAAGAGGCAAGTTCACGATCGAGAAGCTGCCCGACTCTTTGGACTAGATGCGCCGACCCATTCTGGAAGGGTCCGGACTGGACGACAGATGTTATTTCTTCTTGATACCACTTCATCGCACGATACTGCACGACTACACGACTCGAGTACGGATCTTCACACCGTGCCCAGGGCACTTCCTCGTCTAACGAGATGGCACCTTGTCTGGCAGACCAGGTTGGCCACCACTCGACTCCATGCATGAATTCAGTCTGCAGGATACAACGAGACACGCCATACGAAGCTTGCGAGTCACGTCACACAACCATAACGATACCCGGGGGATGATATTTTGTGGGGCATGCATGGTAGATAATTGAGGGTGGCTTGATAGCCTTGTCAAACCAGAACCTAAATAGAAGATCAGAGCACAATGAAGCTTCGACGCAGATACCAGCCATTGGCAACCTCGGTCGTAGTATGCATAGCTCGTATCATGAGTCACCAGGCTCGTTTCATAAGCAGCCAGCTCCAGCATGCGGGGAAACAGCAGCCTTATCTATACCGATAACCCCACTCGACTCCAGTCCATCAACAACCACCGCTACAACCGCCACCATCTTGAACCTCAAAACCACCCACCCCCAAGCACACCAACTCCCATAAAACTCCCTTTCCCAGCGCCGCCAAAAGCACAATGACCACCCCCTCCGAACCCGAAACAATCGTCATTATCGGGTACGTCCCCATCCCCAGGCTCCTTCCCCTCATCCCTCCCGCACCCAAACTCACCAACCAACCAACCCACCCACTAACACCCAAGCGAATGATCCCACCATCAGAGCCGGCGTCCTAGGCCTCAGCACAGCCCTCTACCTCCAATCCCACTCCCACACGAGCACAAAATTCCTCCTCCTCGCCCGCGACCTCCCGCACACCACCTCCCTAAACTACACCTCCCCCTGGGCGGGCGCCCACTACCGGCCCGTCCCCGGCACCACCCCGCAGCACCACCGCGAAGCCCTCCAGGCCCGCCGCACCTACACCCACCTCAAGGCCCTGGCCGCCGCGCAACCGGGCGCGGGCGTCGCGCGCTGCCCCGCGGTGGAGCACCTCGAGCAGCCGCCGCCCGAGTACCTCGATTCCGAGGCTGTGCAAACCGCGTATGCCCACGTGGACGGGTTCCGGCGCTTGGCGGGGCACGAACTGCCGGCGGGGGTGCGGTGGGGGGCCGAGTATGAGACCGTCGTCGTGAATTCACCGGTGTACTGTCAGTGGATGCTGAGGGAGTTTGTGCTGCGCGGGGGAGAAGTGAGGGAGTATACGGTGGGGGATGTGCGGGAGGCGTTTTTTGTTGGGGCTAAAAGGAAAAGGGAAAGGAGGGTGAGGACGGTGGTGAATTGTTCCGGGTTGGGGTTGGGGGGCGATGAGAGGGCTTTTATTATTCGAGGTAAGACGGATTCAACTACCTACCTGTCGGATACCTTCCTGCTCGGCTTTTGTCGGGTTTGTGGTGGTGGGGGAAGGAAGCTCTACTTGGATCTATCTATGCTGCTGACACTCCCCCCAAATGTCTAGGACAAACCTGTTTAGTTCGGAACCCATGCGCCGTGACCATGACCCGCCAGAATAGTGATGGGTCGTGGTCGTTCTGTATCCCCCGGCCGCTGGGAGGCGGCACGATCATCGGGGGCACCAAGCAGCCGCATGACTGGGATCCGTACCCGTCACCGGAGACGCGAGCCCGGATTTTGGCGAATGCGGCCAAGTGGTTCCCTTTCGCGGAGGGGAGTGAGGGGAAGTTTGATGTCATTCAAGATATTGTGGGGCGGCGGCCAGCCAGAGAAGGTGGCATTCGGATTGAGGTCGAACGACTGGAGGCCGGCGATGGGGAGCGCGTCGTTGTCCATGCGTATGGGGCTGGTGGACGCGGCTTTGAGATCTCGTGGGGTGTAGCTGAGGATGTGTTTAAACTCATGGCGGAGCATGGTCTGGTCCAGCAGAAGGCCCTGCTGTAGGTTACTGATTGAAACCGTGGCATAAGCACTTATGATCGCGACAACAGTAAGCCCTGAAATCTGTGGCTTGAAATTTGTGTACATTATAATTAAAACTCCCTTCTCCATCAAACTGTTTTGTATTGACAAATAAGCTCGAAGAACAGTTCCGCATGTGAGAGAAAGGAACAAGACATAAGCTGCCAAAGAACGCCCTCGTCCTCTATAAAGAAAACCAGTATGCCAGAACATTAGTTCCAGTATAAGAAACTTCCAGGCGGTTGCTGAAGCACCTCACCACTTGATAGCAGTAATCGACTCTTCAGAAACCTGGAAGAGGTGGCAGAGGCGCGAAAAGACTGGGCTTGCCACTGCAGATGTCTCTATGATCAGCTGGCATAGACAGGTTCTGCAAGTGGTCCGGTGCTTCTATGATCACGGCCATGAGACGTGTTTCAACATGGAATTCGATATGGCAATGGAACATCCAGATACGTAAAGGCTGCCGAAGTTAGCTTATGGGAAAGAATGCGCGATGTCTGGGTACTTATCTGGATTCATCGCCTTGAAACGAAGGACAGCATGGCCCTTGGGTTCGACCATAAGAGTGTCTCGTCGCGATGGAACCGCCGAGATATTGCCATAGCCGTTGAACGCACCACCGTTCGGGTATGTACGTTGAAGGATCTGGAAGTCATGTCCATGTAAATGCCAAGGGTGCAGGTTGTTGTGGTTGTTGTTGATGACAAGCTCCACGATGTCACCATACTCGACCACATATTGATTGATGGAACCATAGATCGATGGGTCCAAAGACTCTTCACTGCCGGCAGACAAGGCTGTATACAGGGTAGGCTCCTTGGGGGTTTCGTATGTGTTGCCGTTGATAGTGTAGGTGGGAACACCGTCCACCTGGGCATAGTTGAAGTCCAAAACGATTTGTCGGGAAACTGGCTCAAGCAGCGGAAGGCCATCTATCGGTGTGAGCGTTACGTCGTCCAAGAACTCCAGACTTGCGTTATGAATCTGAATATCTGGGGATGGTAAGAAGGGCGCATCTTCGTTGTACATCAACCATGCAGTGCCATTGGCATTGTACCCTTCAGGCATCTCGCGGTTCTCTCGGATAAACATCTCGTCGATATCAAGGCCGTCCCAGATTGCGTAGTTCCTGCTTGTATCGTTCTTTGTTGTTAGAAGTAGGTCGAGGCGCTGCCCAACAGTCATTCGAAGATATTGAGGCGTCGCGAGTTTCGGTTCCACGAGAATTCCATCGGCTCGGACAACAGTCAGATCGTGGTCCTCAACAATGAACGCATGTCCGGCCCAATTCCCCATGCAGACAACGTGGATGAGATAGGTCTTGTTGGGCTTGACCGGAATCTTGGTTCCGACTGCATCATTGAACAGGACCGCATCTGGCAACGGCTCTAGTCCAGCCGGCCCATCCGCCGGATAGACGTAATCTTCCGTGAGCTGAGGCATTTGTCTGTTGTACCAATCCGAAAGTGTAACAGTGATCTCCTCGTCGTAATGGAAAGGTAACGGCGCCGTGTCGTGAACAACAATCGGCCCTCGGATTCCATCGGGATACTGGCCTTCTTGGTGGGAGTGATACCAATACGTTCCGGTTTGATTGACCTGTTTCGTGTGTCAGTAACGCCACCAGAATCACCAAGTTGGAGTAGACCTCATTACCGGAATAACGTATCGCATGCGCTGCTGTGGTTTGATCGGGCATTGAGTTATGTCAGGCACACCGTCCATGAAGGTATTGTAGTTCTGATGAAATCCATGCCAATGGATTCCGGTGGATTGGTTTCCGAGGGCGTTGTAGACATCTACCACCAAGTTGTCCCCGATGTGGACGTCAATCTGTGGACACGGCCATTGACCGTTGATTCCGATGATGGGTCGCTCAACACCATTTGGTGCTGCGTTGACCCATGTGATATTCCAGTCGAGATACACGTTCTTGCCGAATGCTTCTTGTACGAGCCCCGTCAGGCCCAGAAGCAAGAAGGTTCGGAGCATGGCCACTACCGTGAGTTTATCATCCACGAAGAATGAGGTTGATGAGCGAGGAGTGCTGAGTATATACGATTAAAACTTGAAACTAGAAAATGAAGGACGAAAGTTAGCTAGGATAGAAAATCATTCGAGGACGTAAGTGTATGCATATCAATACGCACACTGACCCGTCTCGGCTCGGTGTCCATCCAAACAAACACGTACCTGAATAGACCGTGATTAAAAATCGAAAAGTCGAGCCAAGCACAAACGAGGCACTCCTACCTAGCACTCGGAGATTCTTGTAAAACACCGTAGAATGCTAACATGCAACTTTCGTTTCTGCAAGGGGCAAGGTTAGGGACCATCCACCACCACAGCTCCAGCCAGCCAAGGAAATTGGCCCCCCATGTAGATTCCTTCCTATTTCACCCTTGCAAAGAATTTCCGAGTCATGGTCGCGTAGAGCGTTGGTGGATTTGACTTTTCTCATACACCGAATGATTGATGCCTAGTGGCGGACAGGCCGAGTATGAAGGAGTCGAGACAATGGGTTCTCGCGAATGACAATGTGAGAAACCACTGTTCCACAGCTCATTTCACATGGCATTTTCACGACACTCGGACTATTCAGCGGGGATTTCGGACAGTCAGATCAAGTCACCAACCCCAGGCCGATCTCCCAATATATAACAGGGCTTTGATTGACTGAGACATGGGCCTTCCAATCGCACAAAGCAGCGACTGGCTCCACTCGGCAGCTCAGGTTCTATCTGCAGGGGACTATACGGAAGGCCTGTAGAAAGAGTAATCCGGACAAGTATACTCGTATGGAAGCATAAGCAAGATGATCTTGGAAGTGGCAATGGCCAAGAGAGGTAATCGATATTGTTCTAAGTTGCTGGGACGAGGTCCCGGTCTGGATCGATGCTTTCCAAGAATAGCGGAATGGATGACCACAAAGCCACCAATTTCAGACCGTTGTCCATTCTGGCAAAGTGATGATGTCAAATCCCAAGCATTGAGCTTGATTTGGGGTTGTCATATCCGGGTTGTCTTTCAGTCGTCCGTCCGTGGGCTCAAAGTGGCACGTTTGCTGGACGTACGAGTAAGACAGACAGTGCACATCAAGGTCCAAGAACAACTCCAATCCAGATTAATTTAGTCTCATCAAACGAAAGTAGGTTCCTGGAAGGGGGTAAGGTCGTTCCCATCCAAGGGGTAATGTGATGATTGAGTTAGCCGTATGAGGCAAGGGAGTTGTCAGGCCCGGGGGCCGGGATGGAAACGACGGTCGAATTGAACGATGTTCCATGCGGTGGATAGAGTTCCCGTGGAGCGAGCTTAATTTCTACCTTGGTTGACTTGAATACGGCCAAATCCCCTGCTTACAATTTCTTTATGCCCCCCAAAACTCCTTCCAAGTTATTATGAAGTCCTTACTTCTAGCATGATAGACAATATATGCCCACTCACATTTGGTACACATACTGGATTCTAATTCAACTCTCCTAGGTCGTCCTCACAACCACGGAAAAGCTCGCATTGGCGTCGCTTCCCCTAGCGAAGTAAGAAGAGACTGGTTTGATGGCATCTTCACAGTCAGCACAAAATATTTGTGTATGAGGCAAATTCGACCTTACTTGGCCGTTGCATCCTCAATTCCTGGGACTCAATCATCTATACAGGCTTTGATTACTTGCTGGTATGCTAACCTGGTATATGTGACTACAACTTTGTATAACCCACTGTAGGCTTGTGCTTCTCTTGAATCCTACTGCTTCCTTACCAAAGACATGCACCATCATCCATGACATAACCTCTCCAACAGATGCCTCTCAGCAATCCGAGCTCTTGACGATTATGCTACTTAACTGGTCAGGAGCTCACCGCATTGGCAGCCATTTCATGCTCCAAGCTCGCCATCACCAACGGCGCCGCACCGAACACACTGTTATATGACAGCGGCTGGGTAGTGTAGTACTAGCATTAATCAGTACTTCATCCAACCATATCCGTAGAGCAGTCACGGAGTCTCAAATGTGAGGGGAAGGGTGAGAACATACCTCATATGTCGGATCTTCTAACGTGCAGACCCCAACTGTGCCATTCACACTCAACGTGCCGCTGTCATCCCGGACCACTCGATTCTCGAGCAGCCAACTATAGCACTTCTCCGCCGTCTGCTTGTAATCTTTTCCGCTCTCGGGGTGAACACCCGTCAGATAGCCCAGCCGCACACCCTTGAGAATGGAGTAGGTGAAAATGGCCGATCCACTCGTCTCGATATAATTGCCTTGCTCCCCTCCATGCTCCATCACCTGCCACCAACACCCCGTGGTCTCGTCTACATCGTTGATGATCGTGTTTGCCAAATTGTAATACTTCTTGTAAGCGTCGTCTCGTTGCGTCTGATTCAGGAGGCCGGGGAATTCATCTGCATTGTGGAGAAGCTCCACAAGACCCATGTGGTACCATCCGAGGGCGCGATCCCAGACATATGGGCTTGCCCCAGTAGTCTTATTCGCCCACGGGGCTGACTTGGAGGCGTCGTAGCCATGCGCCATCAGGCCGGTGTCGTGGTGACAATGGTCCTTAAATTGATTGAGGTCTTTGCTGAGGTTCTCAGCCAGGGTGGCGTTGGTGAGCTCGAAGCGGTTCTTGTACACGGCAGTAAAGGCGCCCAAGGGATAGGTCTCATCCAAATAGCTGAGGTTCGGCCGGGCGTTATAGTACCAGAAGCCGCCTGTCATTTAATTAGTTGATGGGTCGAAATAGGCCAGCCAGGTACGTTGTCTCACCCTCCGAGTTGCGTTTCCTGCCGTCGTATGCCTTTCTCAGAGCATCAAGGCCTTGCTTGTAACTTTCGTCGCCGGACTTCTCATATCTGTAGCCGTCGTCGTGTTATGTCAGATCAATGGTCAGGATTCTAACAAGAATGAACCGCAGGTTCAACACTCACTGGTAGTACAGCCCGTTAGCCGTGGCAAATATGTCCATGGGAGCTTCAATATCGCCAGTCACGTTCAACACTGTGGGCAGAATACTATCGGTAGCCTCTTTCAGATATGCATCCCAGTCCTCCTTTGCACATGATGCAGCATCGTAGTACTCCTTGAGATGGATAACGCTAAGTTGGAACAGTCCAAGCTTCAAGGAGAGTGCGACATCATTTTCAGTGTCAGCGTTCAACAGCGCATCTTTACGAGCGATGACACTATCGGCCAACCATGCTGAGTATGGGCGTACTCCGTTCTCGCATGTTTGTCCCACCGCTGCCACCATGGAGAGGTGACTTGCGAGCCCTGGGAGCACAAATGTGCTCAAGGTTTTCATGCGAACCATATTGTGAGATGCTGTTGAAAGAGCAAAAGCCGAGAAAAGCAGGCCTGTCGGACTGAGAAGCTTCTTATGTGATAGATGCAATTCGGATGGATTGTGTTGTTGGCGTGTGCTAGATGGGGGATATCGGCTGTCGATCAGTCAATAGTCTGGAGTAGCAAGGACTGAAACCTGCAGCAAGACATTGAATATTAACTCTAGCTCAGGGTGAGCATTAGATCCTCGTTGAATATCTCCATCATGAAGCGCAGGGGGGAAGTGGCAGGGATGTCACATTCTCAAGTGAGACAATTAGGCAAGGTTTCCTGCCAGGCGTGAGGGAGCCTGGGGCAGCAAAGAAACATAGGCGCCATCACGAGATCGGATTTTGAAAAAGAAATAACTGCTGATTTCCTCCTTTTGGCTGTCAGATCCGACAAAATACGTTCAGCATTGTGGCTAAGACAGATTGAATGAGAAATCTATAGATCCGCTTTCAAGAGCATCCCCATTATGGCAGGCCATACTGGGCGCTCTAGGCCAGAATAAAGTAGAAACAGTCCCCAGATCAAACCCAATCGACAGTTGTCATCTATATATAATGCTGTCTCAAGTGATCCGAGTAATGCTAACATCCGACGTTGACAGCCAGACATATGCATTGCTATTCACCTCGTTCCCAAGGGAGGAGAGTACTTCGGAGGAGGAACTTGAATTGCCTGCGGCTCTTCGTAGCGTGGTGGACTGAAGCCATTGAGTTCCGTGTTCGATGTTGGCTTTTCCTCTCGTCTCTTTCGCCGCTTAATGTAATAGAGCGCTCCGAGGACAACTATAAGTCCGACACCAATCACAACACCAACCACGATACCGGCAATGGCCCCGGTGCCTAACTTCTTGGAGTGCCTTTTCGAACTGCAGTCTACATAGCCTTTTGAGCCATTTTTGGCCTTCGTGATGGTATCCTTCACGGATTGGCAATCCAAGGAGAGGCTGCTATGGACGCTGAAGCTGGAAAGGGATTTCAGCTTAGGAAATTTCACACTCCATCCAACGCAGTTAGCCGAGGTTAGTCCCTGTACATGCTGTAAAACTCCGTTTAGACTGACCTTGAAATCGCTCCGTACAAGTCAATAGACGACGCCTCTTCGAAAGGAAGGTCAATGGGTAGTGAATCACCAGCATCAACCCGAAAATATCCACTCATGTTCCGCATTTCCGGCATGGAAAGACTAGTATTCTCGGAAGAAGCATTGGTTAGCCCGCATCAACCTCAAGCTCTTGGTAGAGGCAGAAACCCTCACCTGGAGATGTTCCCTCCCAAAATCATGTATGTAGGCGCATTATTGAGACGAGGAAAAGTGATGTTGATAGCTGATGCATTGGATGAGGCGCGCTGGAAGCCAGCAAATCTAGCTTCTTCCTTGATGGTTGTGAGGTTCGGCACTGCTAGTCTACACAAGCTGCTGTCAATGTTCAATTCTGGTGTATGACACGAGAGTGAAGGCAGACAGGCGCACCCCGATAAACTTCCAGCGATTTCTATGCTACCCGCCGATTGGAGCGAAGGAAGAGAGATATATAATGGCGTGGTTGAAGACTGGTTTTTCTCGCATCTATCCTTATTGCAGATAGAAAAGTATCCAGAGACATTCCGAAGTGAGTCTAAGCGTAGACTGCATTGGATGCATCAGCACACAAACAATATCGTCTCATAATTGCGCAAGACAGCCCGAGCTCACCTGGAAACATCGCCAAAGATCTCCGCATATCTGACGGTTTCCAATGATCGCAAATCAACGTTCTGCACATAGTCCATTCTTAGCGCCCATCCGGCCGTCCTCAACTTCGGCGCGGACACATTTGTCAAAGTCGAAATACCCAAGAGGTACATATCGCTCCCCATGTACTCGAGATCTGGAAGGCTGATCGACGACGGTGCAGGTACCGCGGGGGTCCCCTCCCATCCATAGCCGATCTGTCCAGTGATGTTGCGAACGTTGGGTAGGTTGAAGGAGCCGGTATAGCTTGTCGCGATCACGATGCTTCCATTGATCGTTGTGCAATTTTTCGCGATGGCGTCCAGGACAGATTGGTCGGTCGCATTGTAGGAGTATCCGTACTCACCCAAAGGCGGGAGGCATACTTGAGCCACGGCTAGCATGACAGATCAGCACGAGTCAAGACCCTGGGAGCGAAAAGAGAGAAAGGCATTGCTACCTACTAAGTGGGAAGAAACCAAATACCAAGGCCAGTAGAAGCCTATTTAGAAAGCAAATACTCATCTCAGCGAGAAAGACTGCAGAAGTAGTCCCTCAAAACCGAGACGATGAAGAGATAGATCAAGGGAAAAGGAGAGTGAGAAGCACATGCGCCATGGGGGTCTGACAGATCAAGGAAATGTCAGTCTCGTCAGACCGTGGACGCTCCGACAATCAGCCCAGTTAGCAAAATAGTTCCCCAACATGGGCAATGTTATTCTTATCCATGATGATGCAGCGTCGAAGCGCAAACAGTGATTGGCTGATGCTCACAAGCCAAGAGCCATGGCTCATTAATAGCTGGATTTAACGAGACAGGGTCCAGCTTCTCCATCCTCGCATGTTATCTTGACAATGACGCGGGCATAGATCTTCCGTTTTGTTGAGCGAGCTCGGCTCGAATTCAGGGTAATCAAATCGGCATAGTAGTGCATATCTATACCTCGGCAGCTGTTTCATGACATAGATAGGGTTGAAGGTCTCAGAAGAAAGAACTCTGTTTCGGCCGTAGGAGTGGGTGGGGGAAGGGGAAAGGAACTAAAGACCGGACGGAGAAGCCTTGTTATAGTGCCAGTCAACACCACCACGACTCCTCTTTTCGCAGGTGGTACTAATACTTGATAATTCTACTAGGATGACGACGAGAGGCCAAAGACAACGCTGGCTTGTGTTGAGAGAAAACTGTACGTACAAATATGGCATACTAAATCATGTCAGTCATCCTCTCACCGCAAACACATTGATCTATCTCAATCCTGTGTAATCTCCGCCGCCTTGACGGTCCTCCTGATCAATGCTTTGAGCATTGAATCATCCTCGACACCCTTCGCAGCGTATCCAGATGGGAGGAGCCAAAGGCGACACGAAAATCCGTTCACGTTAACCGTCAGAGCCATCAAACCCAGTTGCGGAGGTCAACACAAACGCTCATGTAGCATTTCCTGCGACTCAAGAGCATTGCATCCACCAGCCATCAACACGATCAACATCTCGGGCCCGGACAGATGGCCCGGTACGCCGATTGCAATGTGGGAGGTCCGCAGCCCAAACACCCAAGTAAGTTTTTTTGTTTTACTTGGGAGCCTCGCACCAACTCAATCAACCCTCACCTTCTTGTGCGATCTGTGCATCATTCGAAACCGGCACGGGTTCACCGTTGAGCTTGGCCAGGCGCTCCTCTTCCTTCTGCTCGCGGATCCGCTCCGTCTCCCGCCGCAGGGCATCCAAGTTCCACACTCCATCGGCCTCATCCTCACTCTCACTCTCACTATCATCAGCGCGCCAGTTGCCGCTTTCGAACAATGTACGTCCAGTGGCTTCCTTGGCCTTCTGAGCTTGCTCTTCAGCCGCCTTCTTGTCCAAGCGCTCCTTCTTCCACTTAGCGAACGTCTCAGGCGTTACAGGCGTTAACTCGCCAGTGAGCTTGTGGCGTTCGGACTCCAACCAATCCTCCAGTGTCAGGGTGTTAAGCGGCGACTTGTCCATCAAAGCCTTCTCCGCCGCCTTCTGCTCCTTGGTCTTCAGGACGAATCTAGCCAGATTGTCAGTTGCGCGTACAGTACTGCGGGACGGAGGAATGCAACGTACCCTGGTGGCAAGCTGTGCTTGTACATGCACTTGTCGCCTCCATTGGGGCAGGTCCAGAACCAACCATACTTCTGGTTCTCGACCGCTTCGATGAAGTATTTGCAGACCTTGTCTGTCGTGGTCCGGGGGTTTCCGTGCTTGCTCATAACGACCTTGCGCAATTTCTCCTCGTCCCAATCCTCCATGTTGTCCTTCTTCTTGGCCTCTTCCTCGGCCGACTTGACATCTCGAGAATCGGTGTACAAGTCTCTCTTGGCGGCTTTGCGCTCGAGACTCAAGTCGTGACTGAATTTACACTTCCGGCCCTTCTCACAGTTGCCCTGCTTGTAGAAAACGCAAACAACCGTCTTCGGATCGACACCGAAAGGAACCTTCTGGACCTGTACAGGCTTGAACAGATCGGCAGCCTCCTTTCTGGCTTGCTCGGCAGCCTTCTTCTCGGCCTCACGGCGAAGCTTCTCGGCCTCCTTCTTCTTTTCGTCGGCGTTCTTGTTGGAGGCCGCTTGCGCATTGAGTTGGGCGATCTGTCGTTTGGCGGAACCACCTTTTTTCTGCGAGGGAAGATACCGGTCAGCGGATTGGTCTTTTTTCTTTCTTTTTTTCTTCTGGACGATAGGTAGGCGCAACAAGGCGAAGGTTTTCATGAAAAGACTTCACGTACGTTTTTCATACCAAAGGTCTGCAAAGGAGTCGCTATAGTTAGCCTTACGACGCACGTAATGAGCATTGGGCCACGAGGGTTCAAACCTTGTCCTCGACGGTGGCCTTCTTCTTCTTAGGCTGATCGGCTTTCTTGGGAGGCATGATGGGCGGTGTTTATCTTATTGCGCTTCTTTTTGAAAAACGAAGAAGAGAAGATATAAAACGGTTGCTCAGATAAAGACGTATGCGCCCTCGAATATAGAATTGGAAAGTTGGAAGGGAACTTCCACAGACAAGCCGAAACTGAAGCGGGCTGACGAAATGGGTACAGTCCGCTAAGCGGAGGGAGGGGGAGTAAAAATTACAATAGACAAGACAAAAAAAGGTGTCTCTGAATGAGAGTCGGCCTGACGTCGAAACCGGGTCAGACAAAAAGAAATCACAACGCCGTGGCTGGGAAAGATAAGAATCAACAACCGGGATGGAGGTTCAAAGGAACAAGAAGAAAGTCCGTGTTGGTGTGCAGTAGTGGTGGTTGCAGGTTCCTCCACATTTTCAAGGTGTGGGTTTCCAAGTGTGGCGGAACAACTTCACATAATCTGCCTCTCCGCCAATTGAGTTGGATAGCCAAATTGCGGTCGAACCCTCACCGGCGCATTACTTGTCGGATTTGACCACCAAAAATCTCTTCACATGGCCGACATTGAGCTGGTCTGTTATACTCAGGAACGAGATAGGGATATTTTTACCAGCAGTTGTCCCTGGCCCGTCGATGTCCCCGATGACCTTTTGTTCTACGGTCGCAAAGCCACACTTGAAGGAGGGGCGCCATGGCGCTATTGACATCATCGATGAAAAAAATTAAGCATGCTGTAGGGCTATTCGGGAAAATTACGGAGGGGAAGGTCTTCCTTTTAGCAAAAGCGTCGTTGGCTATTTCGTCATCTCATACCAATGAAGGAAAAATAATAAACTATTCGCTTCCTTTCCAACTTGTCCTTCTCTTCTGTGCCTCTCTGGGCAGGCTGATAAAGCTAGCTAAACCTGTCGTTCGACTTTGTGCCGGTTAGACACACTATGAGTCGATCGAAACATTATACGATAGACCGAGCGTGATGGGCTCAATGATGCTGATTGTGATAAGTGTTCTCGTTTATGCCTCCGTTCTCCACATCCGTAAGTCGCAATGCGCGTCCCGCGAGAACTTCTCGCATTTAAGCAACCTCCTGGATCTTGGAATCCTTGTTATCGCCGGCCTCCTCGAGTTCCGGCATCTCCTCATCCTAATGGTCGTGTTAGCAAGCGCACATACAAGGTCGAGAAGGGTAATATTCAGCATACCTCATCTTCGCCCTCGCCTGCATCAGCCTCGGCGCCGCCGAGACCGGAAAGGCCACCAAGCTTGGAGAAATCAATGTTGCCAAGGCCACCGTCCATGCCTCCTTCCATGCCATTGAAGCCGCTGGCGTAGTCATCCTCGGGGGCCTCATCCTGCTCGTCCTCGTCGACCCACTAGCTCCAAGTCAGCCTGGACGGGTTCCCAGTCGAGAAGGTACAAATGGGGTCACAATACCTTGTCAAAGTCGGTCTTGAGGAAGTGAACCTTCTGAGTCGTCTTCAGCAGACGGGGCCAGTATTCCTCCTTGAGCTCCTTCTTGCGCAACACCAGCTCGACCTCACGGTCACTGTGGTTTGTCTTCGAGTTCTCAGGGTCGATCTCGGCGTAAAGGTCGAGAGAAACTTGGTATTTTACGCCCTTCTTAGACTCGCCGGAGAAAGAGACATTGGTGGGGGTGATGCTAAGGCTAGCGGCGTCGCGAGCAACATCGGAAGCCTTGATGCTCACGTAAAGGTAGTTGCGCTCGGCCTCAGTGGCCGAGGAGCGCTGGGCCCATGTAACTGAAAAGAGATAGTCAGTACATCGTTACTGCGAGATAAAGAGCTTGCGAGGAAATTGAAGGGTGTTCAGCAGGGTTGGTGTCGAGTCAAGCTCAAGCCGGGGCGATTTATGACAACCGGCCACCGTGCGAGTCACGAAAACCAAGAGCGGGGAAGGTAGGAATGAGGGACGGAGCACAAGAAACACACCTTCGGGGTGAACCTGAGGAAGAGACATTATGGAAGACGGGGAGATAAGAGATATGCAAGATTGAGATGTAGAGAAAAGATGAATCGGATTGGGAAGGTCGAGAAGAGAGATTGAGTGAAAGGTGGATTCGTCTAGGTAGCAGAGCAGAGCAGAACAGAGCAGAGCAGCAGCCGTAGCAGGTGAAATCCAGCCCGCTTCCCTCTAAGCTGACGATCGGCTCAATATGGTGCTAGAAAGTACTGGAACTCTCCCGCCCGCAGGGAGTTTGTTAGGTTTGCAACCTTCTCCGGGGGCTCCTATGGAGGGTTAATTGTGGCCTGAGGCGCTCCACGCATCTATCTCGGCGACGTCACCGCATTCGGGGATGACTCAGCCGGATTTCGCCCGTATTAACTATTCCCAGCACGCAAGCCTGGCTTGACTGAGTGCGCCAGTGCCAGGCACTCCAAAAGCGATGCGAACGACAACCTTGAACAACTTTCAACCAGACAAATATAATTTTACAGGTAACCGCTGTTGCTTCTGGCAGTGACGCTCTCTATGAATTGAATCTTGTCTTTTTTTTCCTGCAGCCTGACCCGGCGAGACTCGCAAAAAATCTCCCCCCTATACCCCGCCCTGCTGCCAAGGTCTTCGGATAAGCCTTCGAGTTCCTCCCGATAGACGCCTGTTCCACTCTTGCTCAACCCAGAAGCCTCGGCCATCAACATACACCTGCAGTACACCTTCACGGCATTCACTCAGCTGCGGAAACTCTGAAGATATTCTAAGATGGAGACCCTCAAGGCTGTCTTCTTCGGCCCCGATCCTCAGGCACAGGTATTGTCACATGCAGGTGTTCAAACTGGCCGTTCCATCCTGACCCCATGTTCTTGATTGTAGATGAGGAAATGCAACCAGCTCATTCGTGCCAATACCCGTCAATTAGACCGTGACATCTCTCAGCTCAAGACACTGGAAAGCAAAACACGACAGCACATCGTAAGTGCATCGCGACGAGCCCAACGCAACCCCTCCCAGGCGAAGCAGGCCAATATGGAAGCCAAGACCTTTGCGCGAGAACTTGTTCGGATCCGAAAGCAGTCAACCCGGCTACATACTAGCCGAGCCCAGCTGCAGAGCGTCCACATGCAGGTCAATGAGGCATTCTCGGTGCGCAAGATTCAAGGGAGTCTGAAGAAGTCGACGGGAATCATGAAGGATGTCAACACCCTCGTCCGTATGCCGGAACTGACGGCCACAATGCGACAATTGTCAACCGAACTGGTCCGCGCCGGGATCATTGAGGAAATGGTGGATGATGCGATTCCGAATAATGAATTGCTCGAAGACGAGGAGGACGAAGCTGAGGAGGAAGTGGACAAAGTCTTGCAGGAGATTCTCCAGGGCAAATTGTCCCAGGTGGAGGGTGTCAGGCCCGAGCAGCCTTTGGAGGAAGCGCCGGAGCCCGAGGACGAGCTCGAGGACCAAGAAGCGACTCTTGCACAAATGAGAGGAAGACTGGAAGCCCTGAAGAGCTGAAGAGACAACGCCGACTTACTCATCATGGTTTATTATGGCTTAATGCATGTGCCTGCTCGTTATTTCTCTTTCTTTACATACTTTCAACCAGTCTTAGATGGCGTTCGATTGGACAGGGCGCGCCAGGCGTTTATATCTTGATCTCTGCTTTATTCATTCTGATATTGGGCAGGCCCCGGCTTCTGGAGCTTCGAATACATTGCGTTGTCTTACTATACCGCGCAACACTATGGTTCGATCAATTGGCAATGTGTGTTGTATACAAATGTCATGAGATTATCCATATGCATTATCATCGGGCCGTTGCTTCTTGTGTTCTGGTGTTTGGGCAGCAGTGAGTAGCTTTGGCATAATCAGAGTCTGAACATAATTCAAGTGCTTTCTCATGAGTCTCATTAAGTCTATCTGTTAATGGAAAGGTAGCAAATGAATTTTCCAGCCTCAGAATACTGTAAATAATTCCATTCCAATGAAGCTCAAGTTGTACCTTGAATGGGTGTGTCGTAACAATCCCCAAAGCGGATAGCTCGAAAGACCTGATCGGGACTAGGGTGACTCAGCCTCCTCCCCTCCGCCCTTGCTTATCTTCTCCATTCATCCGCCGCCTGTGTTTCCCTTTCTTCAATCATCCATCCATCCATCCATCCACCCCATCCCGTCCACATCACTTCTATCATCTTCATCATCCCGCATCCATCGCGTCCACTTGTGCGTGGTGTAAACTCTTCCACCGTCAATTTTCACTGTCAACTTATACTGTTCAGCTTGTCTTCCAGCTTCTGGACAAATCTTAACCAGAACAATCGCCTTCGCTTCCTCAAAGTCGCGAACTCAGTGGCGTAACACTCGCGACTTGCGAAAGCTATCGATCGATCTCTCATCCTTTCTTCGACAAACCCCCAATCAACTACAATCATGTCTGGCAAGTTGGACAAGTCTCTCGACGAGATTCTCGTCAGCCGCCGCCAGGGTGCTCGTCGTCGCGACCGCCGTTCGGCCCCTAAGGCCGCCGCTGCTTCTGTTCCAGTCGGTGGAGTCAAGAAGACCACCAAGACTGCTAAGCCTGCCGGCAAAGTCGCTCAGAATGGACACCCCGTCTCGCGTGAAAGTAAAATCATGGTCAGCGGCTTGGTATGTTAGATCCAAAATCTCTTGCAGGAAGCCAAAAGCTAACGCCCCCCTCACAGCCTGCCGATGTGAACGAGGCCAATATCAAGGTATGTTGATCGAAAGGCCTTTGCCTTGGGTTTCTATCGCCATGTTTCTTTTCCGAAACCTTCGATGCGCAACGGCTTCACTCGCGTTTCGATCCTTGCCACCGTCATGCATATATCGTCGTCGTGGACTTTGGACATCAGCACGGGCAGCAGTCTCCTTTGACGCTTTTGGCGCCGTTATCTTCCTTCGCGCTTTGAAAGCCTATCAAAGTCGAGCTCTGCCGTAGTCTTGCAAATGGCGCATCCAATCCAGAGCGGAGCTCTCAGTGTCCCGCCTGGATTGTCGAAGCCGCAGACTGTGCTATGGATTATCCTTCGAAGCATGCCTTCATTTTTTCCTCGCTTGGTCAAGCTCGATTGAAACCTCCAGTCGGGATTCTCAGGCATCAGCGAGCGCATTGGCATGCCAGCAGTACATCCAACACAACGCCTCGAGCGAGTTGTGGTCGAGCGTCATATCATACCACGTGTTATCGAGCGATGCTATCGTGCTTGGCTGGGGCACGATACATTCTTCTTTGGACATTGTGAGAGTATTTATGGCTTGCATTTCTTGGACTGGGGTATTACGGAGGGCATCTGGGGGATCCTGAGTACACGTTTGCCGCCTTTCTGGGATCTCGCAATCGGGGGATAAATGTGGGACATGCATGCTGGATGGATTGTCCTGTCAACTTTTTGAGGAGCCTTTTATCAGGCATCTGATGACATTACATCTTGTGAGGTTGAAATGAGTGGAGGGGCATGCTGGCCAGGGTTACAATGTTGATTGGAGATTCTACGGTGGACGAGCGAACGGCTGCCTACAGCACTGTACTCGGGTAGAGATGCGGAAAAACTATCCATGCTGACAACTAACTGCCGCTGTGTGCTCGCTGATGCTTCTTGATGTCGATGTCGCTTCTGAGGCCGTTATCATGCGTCTTTCGAATTGTGTTCATGCCGATGCTTTCGCGGTTCTGCAACTGAACTTCTTGATTCGATATACTAATTCGGTTTTTCCTGGTGCTATAGGAATACTTCACAAAGTCTGCAGGTCCCGTGAAGCGAGTTATGCTCACCTACAACCAGAATGGTACTAGCCGTGGAATCGCATCCATCGTCTTCAGCAAGCCCGATACAGCTGCGAAGGCTGCCAAGGACTTGAATGGCCTTCTAGTCGATGGCAGACCCATGAAGGTCAGTCTTGTTGTTGCTCATCGTTATTGCTCTGCTCAAGCTCTAAGTACTGACACATACCAGATCGAGGTTGTCGTTGATGCCTCCCATGCGCCCGATGTTGCCGCTCCCAAGTCCCTTGGTGACCGTGTCGCGTAAGTATTCATCCTTTCTGTTCGTTTTTGATGGTGACTAAGTGTCGATGTGTCCAGTCAAACCAAGCCCAAGCCCAAGCCTGCTACTGCCAACAAGGCCGCTACTAATGCCCCTGGACGTGGTCGCCGTGGTGCCCGTAAGAACGGCCGCACTTCCAACCGCCCCAAGCCCAAGACCGTCGAGGAGCTTGATGCCGAGATGGTTGACTACTTCGCTACCACTGATAACACCGGCCCTGCTGAGGGTAACGCTCAGACGAACGGAGCCCCTCAGCAGCAACAGGCTGCCGCTGGTGAGGACCTTGGCATGGCTGAGATCTCTGTAAGCTTCCTTTTTCTCCTCACGGCTTCTGTGCAACCATCGACTAATCACGTGTTCTAGTAAATGATCCACGATACACCTTCATTTGTAAAAACGATATGAAGTTGTCGTCCAAACCCTTCGCCACCTGGCCACACTCTTTGCGCACTCGGGGTCTGCCGGTTGGATTCGAGTCGAATTCCCCTTAACACAATTCCCCTTAACCCTTTTATCCCTTTCCTCTTTTTTTCCTCCACTTTTGCTGTATTTCGGACTTATGTTACTCGCGGTTTGCTTTTTTCTTCTTTCCCTCCACTTTCCCCTCGTCTTACCCCTTTGTGCCTTTTATTTTTACTTTTTTTTTCACTGCGTCCAGGACTTGTCGGTGGTGAGAAGATCGGGTCTGTTATCTGTATCTAATAAAGAAACTTGGGGTCTCAATGCATCTCCTCGCAAGTTCTTTTACTCTGTACGCTTTAGAGTCATCGTGCGGGCAGTTTCCTTGGCATCTTCAACCCACGCTGTACTGTACAATACTACCTTCCTTGTATCGCGAAGTTTCACTGCGACGGTCATCATCAAAGAGAAATCCCCAACCAATGGAACAAGATACGTTGAACTACCAATAGATACCTGAACGAAGAAAAACCACCTATCCTGTACTATTTACAGGCCAGTCATCTCCCCATTTCCCCGATCCCCAGCCACGTCTTTTACATGTTTACTTTCGTTACCGACCACTCTCAGCTCCAGGTGCCATTCGCGGGCCCGAAATACCCAGCGGCCGGCATCTCCTTCCACGGGACCCCGTCCCCGTCCGCCGTGTTGAGGTAGACATTGTTGCCCCACCAGTCGGGGAACACGGCGCCCGGGTAGGAAATGCAGAAGAAGATGACGATACCGCTGAGGGCGAGGCCGGTGTCCAGCGCTGCGGCGAGGATGTAGTTGTACTTGGTCCACCAGGCGAAGAAGCGGCGTTTGATGAGGTGGTTGAAGATGAAGTTGACGAGGGCCCAGCTGGAGTAGTTGATTCCGGTTGCTGTGGGGGTGGGAGAGTAGATGATTAGTGTGCGACAAGAAAAGAGGGGGGTAGGAAAAGGGGAGGTGATGAGTGGGTAACTTGGAGCTCGGGGGATTGAGGAGAGAAAGGGGAGACTAACCTGGTGGGACGTTGTAGGTGCCCACGAAAATGAGGGGCCAGTTGACCAGCTTCCAGAAGCGGTTGCGGGTGTACTTATACAAAACGTATGTGATGAGCGGGGCGATGGCCCCGATCCAGAAGAAATGCAGCAAGGATGAATAGATCTTGCCGACGGAGTAGAGACGACGCGGGCCGACGAGACCCCAGATCACCGAGGAAGAGTAGACGGTGCGGCCGTTGGGGCAGGTGAATCCGTCCGCTTGATCGGAGGAACAGATATCTTTGATGTTGCCGAGCATCCAGATGGTGACACCAGCTTGCGTCAAGGCCCCGAGGATGGTGGCTAGTCCTTGGGCCATGAAGAGGGTCCGCGGGGGGATTTTCAGATAGTGGCCCAGTTTCATGTCCATGGCGAAGTAGACGCCTTGACCTACCACATCGGTGCTCAGAATCTTGAACAGCATGTTGGCAAGGGGCTTGCCCTCGAACATGTAGCCGCCGACAAACTCAGCCAGGACATTTAGTTGATTGGCGTCTACGTTAGTGATGCCCTGTATGATGCCACAGGGGATCATGTAGATTGCTGGGACGATGAGAGCAAGAAACACGCCATACACGGGGAGCTTCGTATGGTAGACTTCAACCACGACGATCGCGATAGCTGTGATCACCGCGATAATGGCTGCGTACCAGTACCATGGGGTGTTCTTGTATTTCTTCATCAGACGGGCATGGATGTCCAGCTTGTTTTTTCCTTTGAGGGCAGCCCAGATCTCTCTGCTATGCCAGACTCCGATGTGAGTCAGGACTGCGGTGATGGATGCAAATGACAGTCCGTAGACAAAGGCGTACGTGGCTGGGAGATACGGAGGGGAATAGTTCTTGTATGCCTCAACATCCAGTGTGTTTTGTGAGCTGATAACGCGGGTGGTGTTGTATTCGGCACCCGTTCTGTCGTAGACGTCGGCTGTCATGAGAGGAAGGTAAGCTGTGTACCACGTGTTAGAATAGTAGATGCCCGGCACGACGATCCAAAAGAAGACCGCAAATCCAGCAAAGACGTTGATTGCAGCCCAGGCTGGCGAAAGCAGAGGGTTAGTGTTGTACGCGACCTGGCTCCAGTCGAAGGTGATAGGGCTCAATCCCAGGCCAGTTTGCATGCCGAAAAGTTGGTTAACAATCTTGTTGCGAGGTGCGATCCAGCACACCCAGGTGAAGTATGAGAGGGCAGTGAACATGAGCCCTGGGAAGAAGTACCATACGAAGCCAGCTGCGGTGACGTAAAGGAAGAACCGGAGGCGGGAGATCTTCCAGCCATTGGCGACGCTATTTGCACGCGAATGAAGCGTTTCGAGCATCGCGCAATTCGATAGAACCTGTGGCCAGACGATTCTCGCTGGCTCAACAAGCCATGGAGCAGCGAGTCCGGCGACCCCAAATCCCAGGAGTTGTGCGCAAAGGACGACCAGGACCGAGAAGCCAGCTGACAGACCAAAGTTGTAGAACTGGGAGCTAGAAGCCTGAATAATGTTGGTAGAATCCGCACTCCCATAGCCGAACGAGACATTGCTCATGATCACGATCAGTGCGTGCTCCTTGATATTGAACTGGCGGTCTGGGTTGAGAGAGAAGCTGCCCAATGGTCCGAGACTTATAGTCCACATCGGCAAGACTTTAGCCAGGAAGACACCACAGGGATAAGCCAGCAGCTCTGCCACCAAGGATACGATATGTACCGACGGATAACGTAGCGAGAAAAATTGGTTGATACCAGAGCCCACCATTGTGAATATGAAGCCAAGGAGCCACATTCGGAATGTGCTGACGGGCATACTTGGGTCGTCTGTCTCAGGTACAACAGCGCGCACTGTATGGTACTCATGTTAGATATCGCCCAACCTGACATATGATGTCTTGGGTCATTCACGAACCCTCGGGGAAAGGTGAGTGTTCCGACTCATAGTCGTAGACTTCCTTGTCTGCCAAGTCATCCTCCTTTGTATGCAACTCATCAAGGCGACCTTGCTCTACCTCCTGGTCGGCTGTGCTGTAAGGTGACTTGAAGGATTTCTCAATCTCGATCAGGTCCTTGGATACCATCTTGGGGGACGAACGGCTGTGACCAGCACTTGGTGACGGGGAAGGGAAGACAAGGGAGAAAAGCAGCCATGGCGGAGCCACAAACAAGATTTGGCGGTCTTTAAGAAACTTCAACCATAGTCGCCTTAGCCTGCTTCTTATCGCCACATCTGCTGACACTTTGTAGTTGACTAGTGTCTAGCCCAGGGTGTAACCGACCGATAGGCATGGGTGTAGTCTATCTGGTGCAGATAACAGCCGTGCTAGCCCTATGCGAAGAGATAGGGATGGCGGCGATGGGCTGATTGGCGGTTTGGAGCATTGCATAACGAGCATACTGAGATACTTCGAAGCGTCGGAAGAAAACAAGAAAGTCAAAGGCATTCACCGTGCTAATTCTCACTGTAGTAGCAGAAAGAAGAAGAGAATTGTAGACATGTCTCTTGGAGAATGCCGAAAGAAAGAAGTGCGGTCTGATAACAAAACGCGGGGAAAAGTCTCAATTGGGTAAGAACGCGGGACACAGCAGATGCAGAGGCAGAGATAAGTTATGCTTACATTTTGCTACTGGACTAAACACGTAATCACTACTTCTCTTCGCTCTAGCAAAATCATCAAGAGCTTCCATCCTACATCAATTACATTCTGATTACCCGAAGGAAGGAGATACGGTGCGAATTGAATTATCATGATGAATTTGGTACAAGACAACCCACCTTCCCACAAAGCAGCTATGACCTCAAGCTAACTTTGTCTCCAATCCAGATCTCTTGATAACATATAGGTTATCAAGAGAGTCTAAAGCCTCTCGCAGACCCCAGACAACACAACACAGCGCCAACAGCGTATTATCCTGAATGGGACAACTAGTTCACATACCATACCACCCCGAGACTGCCATAGAAGCACTCACTGGGCCTCTTGAACTGACAGCTGCTGCGGAGGCTGGATCTGATAGCGTGCCAGAAGACAGTATAGAGCATTGTGCACAGGGAGACCTGAGTAGGTAATACGAATGCGGCCATGGCGACCTTGTACGTCCCTGACGTTGTCGTGGACCCAATGGATCGGATATCTCTGTGAGCAGTCAGTCAAATGTTCTCTTTCAACGAGAATAGATGCAGAGAAAGGTATCACGTACACCGGTCGTGCTATCAGCGATCCAAAGCAAAGTCAGCTCCTTCAAGACCGGGAACTCGCGCATCAGACTCTCCAGAACCGTCTCCCAGAGCCCAGCGTCAAAGCGAACAGTTCTCAATTCCAGGATGCGCAGAGAGTTTCTGTTGGTAAGAAGAAAGCTCTGCAGGTCCTGACCCGAGATACCCACCACGCCTGACAGTTGGAGCACCTCTAGCTTCATGTTATTACCCTCTTGTCCCAGAAGTTGGAACAAGGCGTCGACTCCTTCGCCTCCACCACAGTCCAAGTCTAGCTTCTTCAGATTGGGCGCCTGGTCAATGAGCTCGTGAACAAAGCCGGCCAGATGAGCGTCTTTCACCTGCGCAAGCAGGCACAGCTCGGTAAGGGTGGACCAGCAAAGGCCGAAGCGGACAACATGAAAGGTGTGGGGGCAGAATCTCCTGGGGTCGATGACCCCTGCCGAATGTTTGTTGAAGTCCGGGTAGGAGCAGCTGAATGACTCGACAGGTCTTGCCATGCTCGGGATGAGATGCAGCACGAGTGTCACTGCATCACTGGGGCTGAGGCAGTCGGTCCAGGTACCCGATTCGGGCTGATTGGACAACGAGATATGGAACGATTGGCAATTCGGGAACTTCTTCAAGACGGCTCTCAACTTCAAGAATCCATTTGAAGAATGGAGGAAGTTGAGATACTCGTTCTCCAGGATGTCACGGTACCATATGAAACCGTAGCCAATAGTGTTCCCAGTAGCGCTGCCGATGGATATCTTCTTGACATGCTGGTTCAAGCCACAGGTCTCGGCGAGCTCATCCATGGCA